TTTTCTTGCTCCTCTGATGCTGCCTGGCCTGCTGGGTTCCGCAAGCTCCATACTATGTTGTCGCAGCTTCTCCATATCCTTTTCATAACATGCCACAAGATGAATGATCAAAAGGACAGATGCTATTCGATATCATTGAACACCGAGGTAATTAACAATCTCTGGCTGACAATAATTTACACTTGCATAATGTAAAGTCCAGAAAGGATTATCATCAACATTTGACACAGATAAGACCTAATATTAGAGCAGTTGATCAAAAGCCTGGCTAAAGAGATGGGTTTTATAGAGTGCTGCAAAGGGGGAGAAAGGTAGAGAGGTGTAGAGCTTTAAGAAGGGAATTCCAGAGGTTAGCACCTTGATAGCTGAAGCCAACCACCTATGTTGGAGTGAAGAAAGTCAGGCATGCACAAGAGATCAGAAATGGAAAATGTAGAGATGCTGGGGGAGAGGAAGAAGCTGAGGTCGGCAAGGCTGAAGCAATGGGTTCACTGGAGAATGATTAAACAAATAAACGGTGAACTTAATTTCCCATGAATTCTATGAATGGTGAAGGTTTTCTGAGGCAGGAATTTGAGAATCTGTTTCTGATTGTTCAGGGCCTTACCTCTCTTACTGGATTGCAGAGAAGCCTGAGCAGGCTTTGAGAACCTGCGCTGTTGAAGATTTTGAGTAGAAGTAAACTTCCACAGTAACATCATCACGTTGTCGATCTACATGGGACATGTGCAGCAAAAATAACAACAGAATATATTGTCAGTTATGTAAAGAATTATAATACGTATGGAGAGTTTGGACATGCCTGCCAAAATGATGAATTGTTCCACTGGCACATTTGTTATGAGTCTCACATTAAGCCATTTTTATGATTGTGGTGTTCTCGACAATTCCTTCTGAGTGTGCCAGCATTGATGAGTGACAACGTAAGATGAAAAAAGCAAGAACGTCTACTCAAATTTGACTCCAAAACATTCCTCATGTATGAAGTTACTTTTGAAGTGTAAGCACTGTTGATATTTAGTGATCTTACGACAGCCAATTTATGCACAATATCTCATTAAAAATGTAGCACCATCATCACCTCTGCAAACAGTGCACTGAAGCATCAGCTTGCATTATATGTTGAATTCCTGAAGGATAGCTTAAACCCACATCATCCAGCTGAGAAGCATGAATGCTAACCACCCAGATTAACTACTAACCAATAAATGAATCAGCCACTGATTAGGAAGGCTGAAAATCCTGTCAGATAGTTAAGAGTCTCCAATATCTTTTGATCATATAATAATAACTAAATGCATACAAATGTACCAAACGGATGCAAGGGAAGAGAACTGAATAACCAAACTTGAAATTAAAAAAACAAACTTAAGATATGTTTATGCACCTTTCAACACAAGCTCAGGATGTATTAAACAGCCCATTACAGTATTTTGTTGAAATGTAGTTGCTGTTACAAACTTGGAAATGCGGCAGCCAATTTGCGCACTAAACAGTTTTATAAATGGCAATAGGGAATGACTGAACAATGCCATTTTAGTGTTGGTTCAAGAATGAATATTAGACAGAACACTGGAAAGAACTGGAAAGAATCAATTGGGGTGGCACAGTGGCTCAGTGGTTAGCACTGCTGCCTCACAGTGCCAGGGAACTTGGTTCAATTCTACCCTTGGGTGACTGTGTGGAGTTTGCACATTCCCCCCCTTTTGTGTGGGTTTCCTCCCACAGTCCAAAGATGTGCATGCTAGGTGGATTGGCCATGCTAAATTGCCTGTAGTGTTCAGGGATGTGTAGATTAGATGAGTTATAGGGGGATGGGTCTGGGTGGGATGCTCAGAGGGTCAGTGTGGACTTGTTGGGCCAAAGGGCCTGCTTCCACACTGTAAGGATTTATGATTCAAGCTCTCCTTTAAAACAGCGTTGCAGGATCTGATATGCCCACTTGAGATGGCAAACAGGGCCTTCATTCAATATGGCATACACAAATGAGTGCAAGCCTGAAAGAGCAGTGCTTCCTAATAATGTGCTAAAATGCCACCCAACATTGCATGGTGGGGGGTTGTTTGATCACTCGCTCTTTTAATTCACACTTTTTAAAAATATATTCTGAATCCAAACCGATCTGAATTCAACTCCTGATCTTTCTGGAGATTTACACTAAGGCTGTTCATATGCAATAAATTAATGATTAAACAGATCTTCAAGTTGAGGTTGAAATTGTTTCAGAGATAGTAGGAACTGCAGATGCTGGAGAATCTGAGATAACAAGGTGTAGAGCTGGATGAACACTGCAGGCCAAGCAGCATCAGAGGAGCAGGAAGGCCGACGTTTCGGGTCTAGACCCTTTTTCTGAAAAAGGGTCTAGGCCTGAAAAGTCAGCCTTCCCGCTCCTCTGATGCTGGCCTGCTGTATTCATCCAGCTCTAAACCTCGTTATTTCAAGTTGAGGTTGTGTTGTTAGTGGAGTTATGTTATAGCACCATCTATTGATCATTCTATAAGCAGCATGATGGCTATTTTATTAAACCACTGGAGAATGGGAGATCCCTCTTTGCTTCATTATCAGATCAAATCTGATGATAGTTCACATATTGAAATGTTACAACAGGTGACCAAAAGCTGAGAGTTGGTTTTAAGATGTTGGATTAAAAAGAGGAGAGAGGGTATGGTGAGAGATTGAGAGGAGACTGTCAGAGTTCAGATCCAAGACAGCTGTACGTATAGCCATCAGTTTCACAGCAACAAAAATAGGGGTTGTGCAAGAGATCAGAATTATTGGAGGCGTACAGAAATCTTAAAGGGTTGTTTGTTTGGATAAGTTTACAAAAACAGGGACAGACAAGAAGATGGAGGAATGTGAAATGTGAATTTTTAATCAATGGGTTGTCTGGATGCAATGTCTGGTCATTGATCAGGAAGATAACAGAGTAAGAAGGAATGAAACAAAAAACTCCCCAGTTAGAGTGAGTTTATCTTAACACTTACCAGTTTGGCTTTATCTCCAAGTGGCTCTACAGTATCTGTAAATGGTTAAAGCAATATATTACTTCAGAATTATTGAGGCAATGTTTATCGTCAGCACTCCTGAAATTATGGCAGTCAACTATATAGTGCAGGTCATTCCCAGCAATAATGCAGATGGGGATTTTATTTGGAAAAGACTTTGTTAAACAAAAGTGATGTATTCAGGAAAATAAATCATAACAGTACAAAAAATGTGGAGAGGGTCAATGAGTCGTGTCGGTTTTTGTTTTCTTTGCTGGTTTATAGCCAATGTAAACACCATGACTTATTTCTGCAAGAGTAATTTTCAAAAGAAAAAGCAACTATTTCTACGAAGTTGAAAGGAAATGTCCCAATAAGATAGCAGTAGATTGGTAAGGAGGTATTTCTTACCTTCCCGTAGACCAGCTCCTCCCAGATCAATCTCCTCTTGCTTTGGAATCACAGAATAGACGTTGGCCATTCTCTTAGCTCCAAGAGAGGAAAGATCATTTGACAAGAATCCAACTGCACCCTCAGTCATTTTGGGGTCAAATTCTGTTGAATATCAAAGCAAAATAAAACTAACAGCTGTCAACTGTATGAGCTGCGTCATCTTTGCAGATTGCAATTCTATTTTCTGCAAAATCAATTGTCAGTCTTTTACACTGAGACTTGACACTCAACCCAGTTTGTTAACATTTCATAGGAAAACCCAATTCTTTTCATCAGGAGAGAATACACTTAAATCTGTTAATTTGCTTTGTTTGCTGGTGAGACTGAAGAATGTCAGTCAAATCAGTTGGAGAGTGAAGGAACCAGATGTTACTGATTTTCATCATCAAAGCACACAAATTAAAACAGACAATTTTAAATTGATTTTGATATATAATAGTTGCAGTTAGTTGTATTCAAGTCCCTCTATGGCCTTATGCCTCCCACTCACTTGTAGAAAGTTTCTTGTTGAAAAACTGCAAGTTCTTAAAAGCTAAATTTTCATAGTATATTTGGGGAAGGAAAGGAAAACCATGAACAAAACATTGTACATTTACACATTGTACTTTTCATGTGGGTTTTAACTCCAGGTAGTTCACTTTATGCGGTAATGGTTTATGGTTACCCTTCATAACATAAGAAACGAGGCATGGATGTTGTTGAATTGAAGAATCCAACAGCTACCTAATACATACAGACATTACATTCTTCAGGTACTTTCAGCTTTTGTGCTAACATGAAATTATTGTATCACACAAAGCAGCAAGCTTCTTGTATTATGTCATGTTTCAAGTGATCCCCAGTAAAGTAACAAATGAGAACTTTACATCCTCAGGTCACATTTTTTGATACAGTCATTGAATCAAAAGCGTATCTCTTAAAGGTGTAGTGACATACTTACCGTGAGACATAAATAGCATCTCCATTTTTCCAAAGATAAAAAGATATCAAAGAGGTATACATTGGTTGTATATAGGCACATGTTGTTAATTCAGTAATTATACTGAATAGATATAGCACTTGGGGTGAATGGGATCAAAGTTTACGGGGAGAAAGCAGGATTAGACTATTGAGTTGGTCGATCGGCCACGGTCGTGAAGAATGCCGGAGCAGGCTCAAAGGGCCGAATGGCCTCATCCTGCTCCTAAGTTCTATGTGTCTACATTTATACAAACTTTAATGAGATATCTTTCACGTTTGATAACCCATCCTGATCTGGCAATTGTATACCTGTCTGGAATGGTTTGTGGTTTCCTCTGTTGAACTTGTTTGATAAGTTTGTTGGTTTGCTGCTGGGGGCTGTCACTCAACATCACTGCACACTCATCATCATCAGAATATTCTTCCTCAATCACTGTATGCATTGTGCATGCTGTACAATAGGTCTGTTGTATATTGGTCTGATCTGGTTTCTGTTCATTCGCAATGTAGCCCCATGATGAGAAAACACTTCTTGTCACCTGGGCTGGCTGCATATTTTAGAAACCCTTGCTGGTATCTAAGTATTTGGATTTAGTATTTTTAGATCATGCTCTCTGATCACTGCATAGTTTAGGCAGTTATATAAATGCCCGCTTGTTGTGAATCTCTTTAATTCTCCTCTGTCTTTGAAGAAGAATGTAGTGTGTCTCAGAATGATTAGACAATTCATTACTGATAGAAGTCCTTTGCACATGCCTCTTGCGCATAAGTTATGCAGCAGATGGCTACCCCTCTCTCCATTGGTGTTGTACAAAAATACAACACTGCGATGTGAAAATCCTGCTTTGTTGTGCAACACTTCATGATCATTGATTTGATGCTATGCACCATACATTTCACTAAACCATTTGAGTGAGGATAGTGGGATGATGATATGCTATGGATCACTCTCCTCTTAATACATGTCTTGAAATCATTTACTAAAGGACTGCAGTCCATTGTCAGACACCATCCATTCTAGAATACTAAATAAACTGAAAAATACCGACTATCGTGTCAGCAACGGTCACACGTTGCTAAATTGTCGAAGAATGATAAATTTAGAGAAGTAACTCATCACAGGAATGTAATCTTCCTTGTAGACTGTAAATAGTTCTGTTGCTACGTTCATTTAAGATGAAATGGAACACGTGTAGATGTCAAGGTCTGCTCGATTACTGGGGCTGATATCTTTGCTATAGCTCACAGCCATTCATTAGCCTTTGAATATGCTGATTCATACTTACAACCATGTTACAATACAAGTTAGTATAGTGACACAACAAATGCAATTTTTTGGTTAGTTTGCCATCCAAATAAGTACGATGCGTTAGCTTTCTAGATGGCCTCTAAGAGGCCTTCCAGCTGTGCAAAATATGCAACCTGTCAATACAGGTAAGACAGAGAGAGTGCACTTCAAGATGGTGGTGCTCTGTCTACACTTTTGAAATTAAAAAATGGTCACAGCTCACAAATCCACTAAAATTGAGTGGTAACTCCTTTATATGTCAGTCTGCTGTCATCATTGTGGTCTTTTGCAGCAGTGAAGTTGGGTAATGGGAGTGGTTTAAAGCTCTTCAGGAATGGGCAGCACGGTGGCTCAGTGGTTATGGGCAGTATGGTGGCTCAGTGGTTATGGGCAGTATGGTGGCTCAGTGGTTAGCACTGCTGCCTCATAGCACCAGGGACCCGGGTTCGATTCTAGCCTTGGGTGACCGTCTGTGTGGAGTTTGCACGTTCTCACCGTGTCTGCGTGGGTTTCCTCCAGGTGCTCTGGCTTCCTCTCATTGTCCAAAGATGTGCAGGTTAGGTGAATTGGCCATGGGAAGTGCAGCGATAGGGTAGGAGTGAGGGTCTGTGTGGGACGTTCTTCAGAGAGTCGGTGTGGACTTGTCAGACCAAATGGCACTGAGGGATTCTATTCTAACTGTGAGCCTCCCAGTGTAGTGCTAGCAGGCCTTGTCCTCTCTCAGGCTGTGTTTTGGTCACCACTGGAGGACCCTCTGCTGACTGGAAAATTTCAGTCAAGGGTTTGAGCTGGACCTTAACAAGACCCTTAATGGCCTCAGTTAGCTATCCCTCCCATGTGCAAATGGCTAGTTGTCTCCTGCATACTTACTTAAAAATAGTCCAGAGACCAGACTGCATGTGCCAGGAAATTCTGGCACCATCTGCCTTCAGCAGGATTATAAAATTCTGTCTACTGTCTTTGTGATAGAATAGCCAAGGGGAAAGTAATCAACAAAGTAATTGGTTTGAGCTCATTTTCAAACCGTCTCACCAAAATACAGCGAGAGAAAATAGTAAACGCCAAGAAGACATTTCCTTTTTTTTAAGAGTTAAAGCTGTCAGATCTTGGACATAGATTTAAGTTGCTCCACTCAAGTACCTCTTCACATCAAGTGCCTCATGTCAGCATCAGTTATTCTAAGATAATTAAAGTGATATCTGTCGATTGTATGCACTGCAATCTCAGATAGTCACTCATCTTCAAATTCACAGATACTTTTGCATCAACAAAAAATACTTCTAATTGATTTCAGGAATCAAGAAGTGTCTAAGACAATAAGGGACTACAACCATCAATTAATCTGAAGTTGATTAATTGAGGATAACATTATGGGTGTTTCTGTGGCTTTAAAGGACAAATTAAATGTCAGTACATAACAATTTTGCATCATTAAGTATAATACTCCTTTACAGCAATTGAAAGAACTTACATTTATAGTAAGTCTTTCATAACATCAACATATCCAATTATTTCCCAAACTAGGAGCTACTTTTAAAGTATACGCATTGTTGTGAGGTAGATAAACAAAGCACCCAATTTACAAACAGCAGGGTCCCGTTTAAAATTACAATATCGATAACTAAATTATCTGTTACAGTAATGTTAGTTAAGGGGTTGGTATTGGCTTGGACACCGGGGAGATCTATTCTGTGCTTTTCTTATTTGTGCCAGGGGATAACGTGCATCCGATTTAAGAGGTAGATGGGGTTTCCATTTAAAGTCTGATCTGAAAGGTGGTATCTCAGGTAGTTCAGCACTTAGTACAAAACAAACCCCACTACCTACCTGAAGCTGGTCGATGGAGCAGCATGTCAGATTGGACAGTTTAATTAAAAAAGTTAAGACACAGGTATAAAATAATGAAATCGACTTAATCATCACATCTATTCATACACAAATATTAATGAAGAGGAAAACACAATCTGAAATGCATGGAAATGTGTAACCACTAAATTTATCAGTTGTGTTCCAGTACGGTTTACTTATTACGCTGAGTTGCTTAGCTCGAATAGAATATCAGTCATACGTTAAACGTATTAATTATTTGAAGACTTTTACATTAAATATCAAATATTGAGCAAGTTTGGAACTGCTCAGTAAATTTCTAATTGTGATCTGTACAACGGTCAGTGCACATCATCTCAGTACCTTACAGCTGGACCTTTGCCGATTCTGTTAATACATTAAATAAACACATGGTACAGTTGTAGTTGGAATAAAACCAGCTTTCAAATCAGTCAGAAAATAAATGAACAGGCTTATTATAGAATATGTCTGTTACACACAGAAGTGTATCAACTGAAGAGAGTCATTAGAAGTGGTGGATATTGTTTAGTGCCTTATGGAACTAGATGTGTAAGTAAAAGTTGAGGTCATCATAGCCCTACTGGATCATAGGGCTACTTTCTCATTACAGAGAGATGACTGATTCTGGTGTAACCTCAGGGTCACCATGTCTCCAGTGAGATTGAGAAAGTGGGACCTTCATGTTGACCTCAGTCATTGTGGGAAGTAAACCTGTCATGGTGGTATCATTCTGCATCGCAAACCAACCATCCAACCAACTTAACTAACTGAGCCCCTATGTATAGGTAGCGTCAATGAGAAAGATATTTTGAAAAATTCAATACCTCCACGAAAAAAAATTTGAAGGCATAAGAAATAGGCTTGTCTACATGAGTTAATTCTCGTGCGACAGAACCATGCATATTGTCTACTGAGTTATATGTAGTAGAGGCAGCAGACATGGTGTGGAGGCAGGTAACAGATTGAAAGGGGGGGGTGTTGGTTGGCAGCACTGTCTCATAGTTGATTAGCACTTCTGCCTCACAGTGCCAGGGACCCATGTTCCATCCCACCATTGGGCGACTGTCTGTGCAGAGTTTGCACATTCTCCCTGTGCCTGCGTGGGTTTCCCGCAGATGCTCCAGTTTCCTCCCACAGTCCAAAGATGTGTAGGTTAGGTGGATTAGCCACGCTAAATTGCCCTGTAGTGTCCAGGGATGTGCAGGCTAGGTGGATTAGCCATGGGAAATACAGGGTTACAGGGATAGAGTTGGGGGTAGGGGAGTGGTGGTGCGGGTCTGGTTGGGATGCTCTTTACAGGGCCTGTAAGGATTCAATGGGCCAAATAGCCCACGTTCACACTGTAAAAATTCTATGAGAAGACATTGTGAATGTCTGCATGTCTCAAAAATAATCCTTGTGACTCTCAAACAAAACATTTGAGGATAAAGCAAATATTTAGAATGGTTCCAAAAAAGATGGACTTCAGATCTGTCGAGAAACTAAAGATATTGTTCTCTTTAAAGCAGAGAAAGTTAAAGAGAGGTCAATAATGATGTACAAAATTTTGAGGGGCTTGAAGAAAGCACATAGGGAGGAAATGATTCCATGGGTGGCTCAACCAGCGAACATGATTTAAGGTCATTGGCAAAACAAAATGAGGAAAAAATGAAGGGAAGTTTTTAATGCAGAGGATAGGTGTAGTCTGTAATACAATAATACAGGGATGAAGAGCAGATTCAACAGTAACCTTAAAAAGAGAATTAGATACATACTTGAAAGATTAGGGGATTAAGACCAATTTGCAAGTTTTTTCATAGAGCTGGCAAACGCATGATGGCTTCCTGTTTTTTTTGAGTATATGTTGGAGTATAATATGTCACTGCTTATTATTGGGGAAAGGAAAGCTACTTTGATACTGCTTGCCTTATAAGAAGAATATTTTAACCTTGACCTCATGCTGGTTTATTCCATTTGTTACTTAAGTGTCTCTTCTTATTAAAGTACAGTTTTATTTTCTGTCCTGACATCATCTGGCACTTGTTGCTCAAAAGAAATACACACAATTTGTAACATTTGAATAGATGACATTGGAAAAGTGTGTTCAATATCTGGCCATTTCCAGGACCTGCCCATCCATTCAACCTACAAACATTGGATGCAGCTCATCTCTTTGCCAGACGCTGGTGTCCTTTGGTCCAGTTGCTTGTGAACATGAATCAATAGGATAAAACTGATGTAACAAAAAGCAGACAAAAAAACCATTGTGCATACAAAAGTTACTTTCTACAGTCATGGAGCTGGAGGCATTACACTTACCTTCTTGTATCCTGGAGTTCTCGGGGAAAACTGGAAGAGCTTTCAATTGACCTGCTGCTGACAGAATAGCCAGAGCACAGATGAGCGTCCAGGTGTACATGATGTCTCTGATGACTCTCAGCTTCTCAGTGCACAGTTTTAAACTCTCTGGAGTCAATCAATCTTTGGTGGCTATTTTGTCATGTCACCCTTTGCTACTTGATTTTGGTTTTGTCCTCTCTGTAATTGATGTTAGTGACAGAATCAGATGCCAGAACCTTCATGGAAAGTGATCAGTATTCTAAAGCTCTTGTTATCACTGCTTAAACAGGAAGAGTTCACAAACATTGACAGATTCATACAATTCTTGTCTTATCTTTGTGCTGACCAGTGTTGGAGATTGTTTTTATCTTTTTAATGATGATCAAACTGGTACCAAAAGACCAGAATACACAGTGTGGGATAGATGAAAATTAAAAGGGAAAAGCAACTTGTTTCTTACAAAGTGAGGGAAGTTGATTGTTCAGATATTTAACACTTTTTACAGGATTTCCATTCGGCAATCCACATTTCTAAAAGGATTTTAACGGAATGCCTTTGATTACAAAATAAAGTAGAGCATAATTACATTAAAAAATTATGTAACTGGTTGATTTAAAACACAAATAAGACAATCTACTAGCCATTAAATGTGCACTGCAAGATAAATATTGGCTATGCTGTGTTATGGCGAGTTAAATAACATCCAGACTTCTATTGACAGTTGCTGTCATTACACAGCAATGATTGTTAGTCAGATTGGAGTACTTATGTTTTAGCGCCCACACTAGTGCATACGGAATGCAGCAATAGTTGATAATAAGGATTAAGATATCTAAGGGCCAGGTTAGAACCTGGGAGTATGAGAATGGCCTGTTTATTTTAGGACCTTATTCCTGGTCAGAACATGGTGTCAATCCTTACCTAGTGAGTCGGGGTGGCGGTGGGGTGGGCAGAATTTTGTTTGATAGGAAGTAGCCTCTGCAAGATGGGTGGTGGGCGCATGTCACAAGAAGGTGAAACCTGGACAACATTTACTGGTAAGAAGTAGCAGGATTGAAGATAACACAGTGTGGAGCTGGAGGAACACAGCAGGCCAGGGGGCATCAGATGGGGCAGGAAGGTTGACATTTTGGATCGGGACCCTTCTTCAGAAATGGGGATTAGGAAGGGAACTCCGAAATAGAGACAGGAGGGATAGGGCTGGGGAAGGTCGTTGGGATGGTGATAGATAAGTGCAGGTAGGGAGTGGTGGGGATTAGTCAGTGAGGTGGGAGGGTGGGACGGATAGGTGGGAGAGAAGATTGACAGGTTGTGTCAGGTCAAGAAGGCGGGATGAGACGGAGGGTTGGTCATGGATGAGACTGGGGGGTGGGGAGATTTTAAAACTGGTGAATTCCATATTTAGGTCATTAGGCTGTAGGCTCCCGAGGCAGAATATGAGATGCTGCTCCTCCAGTTTGCGTGTGGTGTCATTGTGCATGTTTCTTCTGCTCCTCCTAGCCTGCAGAAAAACCTTAAAATATTTTGATCTTACAACTGCTCCTTCTGGATTCACTCCAACTGTTGTTTCTCCATGGTAGCTCTGGCTAAAATAGCCCTGGGATCTGAACTGCATTTAACAAGCCAACCTTTGTGCATTGATGAGGGTTTCAACTATCATTGATCTCATTGTGCTGCTAAAAAATATTTACAGAGTCTGTTGACGTGACAAAAACATCCACTTTATTTGTCTGCTAGCCATTACAAATCATGACAAATGTGTTGATGACTGTATTAAAACAGCAAAGAGAGCAAAAATGTACAAACATGCTCCATGTATATCTGACAATAACAGAAGCTGTCATTTTGAAGGCTCAGTCTTTCTAACTGGAAACAATATGAAAAAATACATGGGGCTGAACTTCACTCGCTGTCGCTTCCTCCAAAATAAAAGTCAGTCCTGAACCATCCAACTTTAAAAAAGTCACTGTTGGGAGCAAAAGATTAACTGTACCATGCTCTAATAATAGCTTCTCAGCATGTGCATAAAGAGCTATGTCAGATCACATGGTTCAGAGCATGACGGAAGAAGGCAGTAGCAAAGACCTGCTCAACCATATTAATGTATATACATTATTGACAATAAATGTTAACAGCTTGCACTAAACTTGTGTTAAACTCTGGTTTGTCTCCACCTCCTAAGTGATGTTCCTACTGAAATAACTGTTCAGAGGTTGGTATCCCATCACCAATCACCCTTCATTTACCAATGCATAGCTTTTGACAATAGCACTGCCTCTCAATACCCGTGACATCAATCCTTTTATGTCAGCCAGATCTCCCCAGTTGGACCAGATTAACTGCCCTGATCAGGGAGCTCATGCTCTGTGAGGTCCAGCTGGCTGACCTCATGAATATCACTTCACCTACATGGTAACAACAATGGTGACCAGTCCCAGAAAACGGCAGTGAACGTTACCAAAAAGCCTGAAGAAGAAAACCAGCAACACCATTGAAAAGAGGAGGAGCAGGCCATTCAACCCTTCGAGCTTGCTCCACTATTCAATATGATCATGGCTGACCATCCAACTCAGTCGCTTGCTTCCACTTTTCCCCCCATACCCGTTAATCCCTGTAGCACTAAGCAGTGGGTGAAGGCATCCCATGTCAGCTCAGTGATCACACCACCGCAAGGGGGCAAACTACCAGGAATATTCCAGCAACACAGAGAGAGCAACAGAGAAGGCATGGATTTCAGCTCGGAAGAGCAATTCATTCCTCCATACCCCACCCAAGAATGTATTAGAATGAAGAGGGCTTAGTAGGCTGGGCAAGGGCAGAGCAGGTGTAACCCTTTTCATTTCCCTTCAAGTATGCAGCACCAAAAGTGTTTCACGATAACAACAGGACAAAAATGCAGAACAGGTACCCAACCACTATTTTACCAGGTCCCTGAGGTTCCTCCCCTTTGGAAAACACCAGACTTACCTCTGCCCAGTGGCCAGTGGCCATGTCCACTTCTTCTATGCCTCCTTGAAGTCCCAGCAATGGACACTGCTGAGTAATGTCACTGCTCAGACTGCAAGAGCCACAATTCTTGAGCTTTTTCTGATGAAGGGTCTAGGCCCGAAACGTCAGCCTCTCTGCTCCTATGATGCTGCTTGGCCTGCTGTGTTCATCCAGTCCTGTACCTTGTTGTCCCACAATTCTTGAGGGCAGGTTTCATCCCACCAAGAGATGGAAGTCTACCTTGAGCCTATTCAGACCACTCCCCCATGTATTATCGCTGCAAGGCAAACTTCTTGAAAACTGGTCCATTTCAGACCAACTGTTCTTCCATGGATTGGGAGAAGAGCAGTCTGTCCTCCTGTAAAATCCAGCCTGATGACTTTGTGACTCTGAAATAAAAACAGAAATTCTGAGGAATGGTCACTGGACATGAAACATTAACTCTGCTTTCTCGCCACAGACGCTGCCAGACCTGTTGCATTTTCCCAGGAATTTCTGCTTTTGTTTCTGATTTCTAGCATCCGCTAGAAATCTAGCATTCTTTGGTTATGTTTTTACTCCATGTCTCTTATTAGTCAGTAAAAATGTAGCTGACAGAATAGAGTATCTATTGCAGCATTTACTTAAGTTTGATGCAATATGTAGATTGTATTCTGATTTGTTTTTATTGGCAATTTGCAGTGAACCCAAGAAACTCTTGGGTGCATCTTTCAATCAAAAGTCAGTTGAGATATTCTCCCAGTTCCTAATGTGAGGGATAAAGGATTAGAGCCATCTTCACAACATACATAGGTGTAAGACAAAAGAGAAAGTAAAGTAAGAACTTCAATATCAATTGTTTACGCTTTTAAGAACTTTTAGGGGTAATGATTGCATGCAGAAATCAGACTTAATAGTTTACCTTTCTGTACAATGACGGTATCTTTTATAAAGTGCATACATTGTAAAGTATTGAGTGCTGTAGTGGTACAGCGTTAATATCCCTATCTCTGGGCCAGGAGGCTTGGCTTCAATGCCTGTCTGCCCCAGAGGTGTGTTGTTACATCTCTGACTCGAAATATCTACATAGTTAATTTTTAGCCTAACTTTCCATTGTGAGTTTAATGGTCAATTAATATAAAAATTCAGCAAGTTCTGGCAGAAAGTTAAGGATTAGAAGCCCTTCAACCAGTCAGCTGTAGAGTTTCATAACTCATCATGCACCTCTTAATTTCCTGGCGTTTGTCATTAATATATCATTAATGATAGCCAGAAAGTGGCTAGCACTGCTGCCTCACAGCGCTAGAGATTCAAGTTCGATTCCAGCCTCGGGTGAATGTCTGTGTGCAGTTTGCACATTCTCCCCGTGTCTGCGTGGGTTTCCTCCAGTTTCCTCCCACAGTCCAAAGATGTACAGGTTAGGTGGATTTGCCATGGGAAAAGTGGAATTACAGGAATAAGGTGCAGGGATGGGTCTGATTGGGATGCTCTTCAGAGGGTTGGTGCAGACTCAATGGGCTGAATTGCCTCTTGCTACACTATAGGGATTCTATGATTCCATTATTTGGCCTGATAATCCATTACCTGCAATGATGGTGATTCATTATAAAATCATAGAATCCCTACAGTGTGTAAGCAGGCCATTCAGCCCATCGAATCCACACCGACCCTCCAAAGAACATCCCACCTTGATGCTACCCAACCCTGTAACTCTGCTTTTCCCATGCCTAACCCACCTAAGCTGCATATCCCTGGACTGTGGGAAGAAACTGCACTACCCAGAGGAAACCCACGCAGACACAGGGAGAATGTGCAAAAGCCACACAGTCAGTCACCCACGGGTGGAATCAAATGGATACTGTCAGCAGACATATCACTGGACAACCCCCAGTCGGATATCAATAATCAAATATTTAATTAAAAACCAACTCAAAGGATATATCTGCGAGAACAGTTGTTGGCTGGGCTAATGCAACATCTCACTGATGAGATTTAGTGTAATCCATCTGACCAAAATCACACCAGAGCACATACTCCTACCTCAATCTGTTCTGATATAGCTATGACTTTATGGCCATGTGAAATTGATTGCTACAAAACACAATATGACGTATGGAAGACTGCATTATTTTCTTATTGCAAGATTATTCATTATTAGTACATCAGTGGTTTAATCCATATCTAGCTGTGCAAGTTGAGTCAACTTGAACAAATGACATTTGGATGAGCAGCTTTCAAAGCTCTTTAAAGTATTTTTTGTTAAACAGTTCCTTGGTAGATTTTTTTGTTTTATTGCGTGTAATTATCAACAAATAATTGTACTTATATGTTTTCTGTGGGCAGAAAACAAAAGTCCCTGGAGACCTATTGGTTTCATTATCAAGCAAATGTTGTTTGAAGGACAATATTTGTGCACCATATCTTATTCTCTTTCCTATAAGTGTCATTTTGAATGTGTTTTTTATTTGTTTGCTCCAGATGCGATGAGGTGCTTCCTATCTTTTAATTATTTTGTCTTCCCACTTAATAAAACAGAAAGTCATTTGGTGTATGAACATTGAAGACTTGCATTTATTTAGCGCCTTGCACAAACTCAAACCACTCTACAGATACTGACCCTAAATTCCAGCCTAGGTGTGGATCAAATCATAACGGGGCCACTCCTATTAGCCTTCCCTTGTCAAAATCCAGAAACGGCTGCATCTCAACCAGCAAGATCAATATCCAGGAAGGTACTTAAATATCCGGAGGTCATTAAACGTCAGTAATGCCTGCATTTCATCTGGACTCCATTCCCTTCCACCGAGTATTGTGTTGTTCCTGGTGCATTGCGAGTGAAGGGGTAACACATGCTCTAAGAAGAGCTACTGAGCATGTATCTCAGGTGCCACATCATGATGATGTGAGCTGATATGGTAGCCAAGTGTGTCTGGTTGCTCAGATGTCATCTTTACTGAATAAATGTTGTTAATATTCACTGATATCGATGCGGTCTACCTTCTATCAATGACTCAGACCTAATCCTGCAAGCTTTGACCACAGTCACAGGAGCTGCAGTAAGCAGTGAGGGGTGATCTTCAGAGAAACCCAATGGCAGTATAGGGCAGTGAATGAAGGCCCAGGACAAGCTAGAAATCTGACCATAAAAGAGGAGGGAAAACCTGATCAGCAGCCTCGCAACAAGAGGGAATATCAGAGGAACGGTTTCGAGGTCACAGACCACAGAGAGGGAAATCCCAGGCAATGCTGAAAAAGGCACAGGAAAAACCTGCCGCAGGAAACACAGCACAATGATTAAGCCAATCACCCACGTAACTGCAGATTAGAGGTGTTCACAGAATTGGGAAATGAAAAAGACGTATAAAGTGTCTGCTGGCAAACAGTGCGGCAGAGAAAAGATACAGTGAATGGCATTAAATGATACTGTTGGTGAGAACTTTGTCTAACCAGGAGATCACGAGTGCAAGACAGAGACCAAGTCCGGTCTGGATCAACAGTACAAATCAAAACAGACTTCAGCAGTCTGTATGTGCCCAAAGTGTGGAGGACACTGAGGATCAGAATGAATTATTCTGGGTATATAATAAGCCCATTGCAGGCTTTTGGCATTTCTAAAAAAGCAAAATCGCAGCTTGAATTTTGCATGCAGATGTCATGGTTATTGGCAAGAAAACTAATTTTATACTGGAAAACAGGACAAATAACTTATTCTCTCAGTTTCACCCTCATGATTGAGGCCAAGATGACTCCAATCATCTTCCAATCAGCTTTGCGGTGGAGGTGATATTAAAATCAGAGTCAGAATCAGCCTGCACTCTATTCTGATGGAAGTTCACCGAGACTTTAGTATGTTATTCCCAGTCGGATTCTCCATTATTAAACAGAGATTGCTGTGAGCTTTTGAATCTCCTTTGTTTAACCATTGAAGCGGAAACTGAAGTTGTTTCAGTGTACCGTGAATCAGCCTTGAGCACAGAACCACAATCCATAGGACGACAGGAAGATAGTGCTGATCTTTCCTCTCTCTTAGAAGAGAGGCTACAAACAGTGGGATAAAAAGCCACCAAGATTGAAGTTAACCAGCTGCAAAAATACTTTGCTGTTTCAGGTAAGAATGAGACAGAATGAAGCTGTCATTCATTTGCTAGAAGCAGAGGTCCTGGATCTTCCTCTACTCTTGGACTGGACTGACATTGGGCATGAAAATTATCTTTTTTTGAGGAGAACTGTCCCTTTGTTGAAGAAGGCAACAAAGGTGTAACTATGGCTTATTTTACTATAACCCACAAATGCCATATAACAGCAACAGCAGCAACCAGACCCAGATTAATCTTAGCTTCTGTCAACTGCACCTCCACCCTTTAGAGATGAATGGGACAAAGTCAAAATTCAAGCCAATCAGTTGAAGATAAATGACCATCAGTGTTGCAACCTGAGTGCAATCAAGAGGCACAAATTACAGACATCCCTCAAGAGGCAGCAGCTGAAGAAAACATGCTAATGGTTGTAACACTAATGAATATCACCGAAACTTCAGAATTCTCCACAGGCCACAAGGTGGTCACGATATCTGAGAAGCCTCACTGTATGGAGTTAGAAAGGGATTGTCGATTATGTTTGAAGAGTGTCTCAGCCTTCAACTCAGATTCATGATCATCGATGCTTCATAACGCTCCACTCTGTTAGCAGAAATCAACTTTATAGGAAGCGAATCTACAACAAAGCAAAGAACATCAAGATGAACTTGATATATTTGGACAAAAACTTCAAACTTCTGAGATAGTGTACAAAAATGTAGTTCAACAACTGCAAGCAACTAGTAAAAAGCTAACCGGAGCAAAGATAAAGCTTAAGTCCAAACTGGACTAAGTTAATATTGAATATTCAGAAGTATAACACTGCAAGAGTGGCAGCTGAAGTCTGTGATTGAGTCTAATCAGCAATTCAGGGAAATCATTAAGTTTTCCTTCACTTAAACTCAGAGGCATAACTACAGGCCGACAAAGTACCTTAAAAAATCTTAAAGCTAAGCGTCAACTGAAAATATTCAAATTAAGCAAGAATTAGAAATGTCACTCTATCTATGAGAGATTTCTAAGCTGAAAATCCAGCAAATAACAGTCGCACAGTAATATCAAGCCACATTATTCATACATTACAAGATTCCCAGTACTGGAAATACCCATATTATAGTAAACGAGTGCACAAATACTCTCCTATATGTAACAAGATTACAAGAATGTCAGATGAAACTGTTGACTACACATGTAGGTAGGAAGCAGAGAGTAATAGTGGAAGGATGCTTGTCGGACTGGAGGCTTGTGACTAGAGGTGTGCCTTGGGGGTTGGTGCTGAGCCCATTGCTGTTTGTTATCTATATCAATGATTTGGATTAAAATGTATAAGGCCTGATTAGTAAGTTTGCAGATGACACTGAAATAGTCAGTATCGTGGACAATGAGGAAGGTTATCAGAAATTGCATCAGGATCTTGATCAGCTGGCAAAGTGGGCTGAGAAATGGCAAATAGAGTTTAATATAGATAAGTGTGAGGTCTTGAATTTTGAAAAGTCATATCAAGATAGAAGTTTCATGGTGATTAGTAGGGCCTTAAGGAGCGTATGGAAGAGAGGGACCTTGGAGTTCAGGTGCACGGTTCTCTGAAAGTGGAGTCACAGATAGACAGGGCAGTGAAGAAGGCTTTTGACACACTGGCCTTCATCAGTCAGGGCATTAAGTATAGAAGTTGGGAAGTTATGACGCAGTGTAGAAGATGTTGGTGAAGCCCCGCTTGCTGTATTGTGTTCAGTTTTGGCCACCTTGCTATAGGAAGGATGTTATTGAACTGGAAAGAATGCAGAGGAAATTTACAAGGATGTTGCCAGGGCCCGAGGGACTGAGTTATAGGGAGAGGTTGGGCAAGCTAGGACTTGTTTTCTTTAGAGCGAGGAGAGTGAGGGGCTACCTTATTGCAGTGTATAAGATCATGAGAGGCATGGATAGGGTGAATGCACTCAATCTTTTTTCCCAGGGTGGGGGGAATTGAGGACCAGAGGGCATCAGTTTAAGGTAAGAGGGGAAAGAATACAAGGGAACCTGAGGGGCAACTTTTTTACGCAGAGGGTGGTACACATAAGGAATGAGCTACTAGCGGAAGTGGTTAAGGCGAGTACATTAACAACATTTAAAAGGCATTTGGATGAATACATGGATAGGAATGGTTTAGTAGGATATGGGCCAAGTACAGGGAAATGGGGTTAGCATGGATGGACATTTTGGTCGGCATGGACCAGTTTGAGCCGAAGGGTCTGTCTCTGTGCTGTAGGACTCTATGACTCTATATCTGAAGACTGGCTACCCTTCAGTCTCCTGGTAAAGATCTTGTAGAAGAATGACATGATCCTGATGCTGAACTTTCAGTCAAGTCTGCAGATCACAGAAGTAAGCAGGGTCTTGCGATAAAGCCCAACCTCCATGCAGGTCATGCGGAATCTCATTCTGTCCAAACTTCAAGTGTGTTATATTATTGATGATAGCACACTTTTACTTTCTCAAAGTGTTTACAAGATGTTGACAGAGGAACAACAGCAAGCTGAAAGGGTAGTGATACTACGAAAAGACAATTGTGCAACCCTCGGAGTTGTTGGGAAGTCCTCATTTCCCTATTTCCAGAATTGTCATTGGAATCCTCTTTGTTCTTCTTTTTATTTGTTTTATTAGCCCCTGGAGTGAGTTCGCTCATGGTTCCCTTCGGAACTATTGGTTTTTTCATCATCACAGCAGCCATGAAAGATGTAGTTGTGAAGTTCCTCGTTAGAGCTGAAAGTGCTTCATTTTTTCAGTTAACACTTTAACCTTTCCTCAGTGAGTAATGCACAATATGATGTTCAGTGCTTCAGTACCCTCTTTGAGGGATTTTGATGATTCAGGACTTTGAGGTTTGTCCCTTGAATAAGTTTTCCCTGGAGTAGACTTCACTGCTAGAGGTAGCAAGAACTGCAGATGCTGGAGTCAGGGATAACACAGTGTGGAGCTGTAGAAGCACAGCAGACCAGGCAGCATCATAGTTTCAGGTCATCATAAGTGCCCAGGAATAGGATGTCACAAAAAGCTGCTGTACTACTCCACCTACCTGCTTACTTTACAAGGAAATGATAAGGATTAGGAAATGATACATGTCCCACATGTCCTCCAGCCAAGAAGACTGTTGGAGATTAGGCTTCATGGGCAAGAGACTAAGTTGGGAGAGGGAAAGGGTGTGGTCCATGTAAGATTTGGATGGAAACTTTAAATAGCTCACGAGATTAACAGCTTGTGGGAACAGCAAACCTGGGGGAGGGGTGTGCAGAGCAAAAGTCAACTATACCATTACTTAAATTGTTACTGAACATGTGGAAAGGAAGCTATATCACAATGACATGAGATTGCATGGAAGTGGGACCTGAGTGTGTAGAATTCCAGAGATGTCCTAATTTAATATCTTTTGCACACAGGACGTTCTTAAAAAGGTTGTTAGTGTTTACATGAACTACCTCCTAGCAACAACCAGAACTAATCTTATTACAGTGCATATAAGCCAAAACCCATTTCCTTTCATGCAAATAACATGTTAAAAATGGTAGAGGGATATCAAAATTACCTACATATGTTTTCTCTGAACCTTTATTTAATATTTTATTGTTTTCTCATTCACTGAGCAACAACAACAGCAACAAACTGTTCAAATGTACAGGTTTGCTCAACGCAGTTTTTAAAACGTCTCTCTATACAGAAATGAGCAAGTGCAGCGAACACTCAAAAGTCTGAGATGAATAATTTCCAGGCTGGAAAAGTTTGTCCAATGTTCATCGATCTTTACCATCATAGCTGTTCAAAGATACTAATCTTGTTACTTGACATTTAAAGCCGACTGGTGTTAATGGAGTCCTATATCTGTGATGGAAGTTATTTATAGAAACTAAGGGCCTGAGGCATAAAAAGAAATACTGAAATCTGATACTTGATATTAGCAGAAATTTATCATTTGATGTTTTTTCCAAGTTTGGAAATGAATCACTGCCTTTCTGTAAGTCATTTCAGAACTGGAACACAAGTGATTACCTGAAGCCATTGTAGATTGTCCTTGAGGCCAATTTGATTGATTAAATGAAGCTGCCATAAATCTCTGCCAGAAGTTAATGCTAAAGACTTCACTTCAATATAACAGTTAATGGGATTTGTCTGGTCTGTAGTATTTCAGTGTGATTAAAAGTCATTATTGGTATGACTTATATGTGACTTTAAGTACAAAAGAATCATGTTACAACAACGATTCCTTTTAAACATTTGTGACATGGACTCAACAAGGCAACGTTTTAAGGTGCATTCCTTTCACTTCTCGGACAGATGTATTCTATCTTTCTTTGGAAAGAAACTTTTGTCCGCACTCACACAGTGATAATTTAGTGTGTTATATTTTACAATTGGGTGATTTGGAAGAACTTACTGTTTAATTGTGAAGGCCAAAAGGGT